TCCCTTGGTCACTTATCTGAGTTGTCATTTGTATCATAGTTGGTTTCCAGCAATAATTGGGGTTAACATATCACCAGTAGATATATAAAAGCACTTTACATAATTTGTTTTTTAATGTCAGATCTTGTCCAATTTTTGGGGCTTAAAATAACATGATATAGTGAAGTTTCTGAATGATGATTTACATTCTAGTTTAAACTTAATGTATGGGCATAGTGATATTTTTTAAGATAAGCTATTGCAACATCACTTCTGAATGTGGCCTGTAAGCAAGGCAGTAATATGATTGACTGCCTTGTATAAGCTCTATGCAAAGCCATTAAATATTGAATGTTGCAGCTTTAGGACTTGAAATTGGTTTCCTTCCCTAGAGCCTTCTAATCTTTGTAGCTGTTTTCCTTGTACACACCATCCTTTAGGGTTCCATCCTTTGAAATCAATCGGAACTTTGGCTTGATGGACTCGGGCCAGTATTTCGATTGAGTTCAATCAGCTCTGTGACATGGTTTCCTGAGAAGATTGCTGAACAATTTGCACAATACTAGTTCTACAAGGGGACTGCCCTTACTGTGTTTACTATGTTCCTTGACTCGAGTACAGCCAAGTGTTTGGAAGTTGTCTGGAAAGTTCAGGTAGCTTAATTGAGGGGGATGAACAATGGCCATCTCCTTGTCTAGGTCTGGAAGATCCAAGCCACACCTTATGTGTTTTGATGGAAGGTGACACGGGGTGGTTGCAAACCAATCACCTGGTTGTATATTTGTCAATTTATTCTCAAAATCAGTGTAATGTCTATCACAAGGTCATGTTCTCATTCACTGCTTGGAGGTCATCCATTTGGAATGCAGCTAATACGTGTCACTGAGTGCTTGTAGATAGCAAGTGTACAATAGCATGTGCATCCCCTGTATATGCCATTGAGCCAAAAGAAATAGATTTGTATTAAATGAAGAATTGTTTCCAACATAGTGACAATGGTGACACTTGTACATAGCAAGTATACAATAGCATGTGTGCCCTGTATTTGCCATTTAGTCAAAAAAATAGATCATATTGTGAAGAATTTTTTTCAACATTGTGACAACGGTGACCCATTTGCAGATTTCTTTTTTCTATTTGCAGGTTCTGGATACTTTACAGGGCTAAGCAGGATGGTCCAGTAGTGTTGGTAAGTTCATTTATCAGAATGTTAACATATCCACTGATTTTTGGTTCTTTTTTCTATCTAAATATATATTATGGTACCAATACTATCTTCATAGGGTTGGCGTCATCCTTGGGAAGGACATGGCGACCACTCTCATGGCCATGGACATGAACATGAGGTACTACTGTGCAACTTACTCCTTAAGTTTGTTTGATTCTTCTGTTTTACTTGGGCATGTTTCATTATCCTGCTTGTGCCCTTTGGGACAGAACCGTTATATGCCTTCTACCTGGTTGTCCTAGCATATAACAGATGTAGCACCTATAATGAAAAAGTCCTATTTGAATAAAGTTTACATGCTTTTCTTTTATGTGAGCATAGACATTTGCATGGATCAAATTTAGCTCATCACTTCATATTTACATAATTTGCACAATTGGACTATTAATTTTGATCAAGCATTTTGTACAGTTACTATGTGCATAAATTTATTTCAAACTTCCTCACACTTGAAGAATGCAAATTTCTTCTGATACTATTTGAGGAAATGGCCTGCCTTATCTATTATAAATTTTAGGAGAGAGATTGCAGGTAGAGATTGGAAAGTAGGAAATAAAAGGGAAGCAGTAAACCATATTAAATATCATCTCCTGACAAGTGATTTCCCCATCCCTTGTGCAGTATGAGATCTTGAGCAAACCTCATGGTTTTGGCCATCATTCATTCTTTAATTATACTCGAGTTGTTCCTCCCTGCACCGGAGCATGAAGTGTACACATATGTGCCATTTGCTAAATTCAGAGCAATAGTATGCAGGTGCATATTCGGAATAAGGGTTATGGACCTTGTGAGTTATGCTCCATCCATCTGATAAATCATTACATATCATGAAGATATGATCAATATCCTCAATGACGGTAGTCACAAGAAAGGAGAGGGTAAGTGGAGTCTGCTTGATATTATGGACCTTGCTAAATATGCTCCATCCATAATGATAAATAAGAACATGTGCAGAAGATATGAACAATATCCTCACTATCCCAGTCCTGTTGTTTTCTTAGGAAGACTTTTGTATTAGGAAAACTGGTTGGGTATGATTGACTGTAAGTCCATGTAACAGGATGATATGACGTAGGTGGTAGTCAATTAAGTTGCATTATGGAATGTGGCCATATAGAAGATCTAGATAACACGAGTAAATATCTGGAAGGCATTCCATAGGATGTGGTTTGATTACCCATCTTTACAAAATTGTGTTGCAGATGCATTGTTCATGATGATTGATGCAAGGGTAAAATCATCCATGTAACAGGATGATATTATGTAGGTGGTAGACAATTAAGTTGCATCATGGAATGTGGCCATATGGAAGAGCTAGACAACATTAGTAAATATCTGGAAGGCATTCTATAGGATGTGGTTTGATTACCCATCTTCACAAAATTGTGTTGCAGATGCATTGTTCATGATGATTGATGCAAGTGGTAAAATCATTAAGGGTAAATTAGATGTCTTGCCAAATGGTGGACCAGTGTCCGTACGTAAATGCATTCTTCCATTGGACCCTGACAAAAAATATGCTGTGAGTGTTCTCCATGGGAATTTTTTCTATGTATACTACCACCACACTTTTTATTGATGGATGAAGTCATATTAGGATGGGAATTCATACTTGATGTGAAGTTAGATGAGACCGCAAAGTGGTTAATGGATACTCAATCCACCTGTCTGGTATAAGGCAACAATTATACTTGGATCATATCTGTAATTTTTTTTTTTGCATTATATCCTTTGCTAGTTTAGTTCCTTTCTTTCTAGTCTGTTTTTAGTGCACTATAGGTATCTTTCTGGTTGATATGTTTTCACTTTGTATTTTCATGCTCATTTTAAACTATCTAGATTTGAATATTGATAAAATATAACGAAATCAGCTGTTTTCTTATACAATAAAGGGAGCTTCTTTCTTATGTTCCACATTTTTATGATCATGCTTGGAATATCTAATTTGAAGACTCAACCTTGGACTGTACCATGCAAGATTATCGAATTACATTACTTCATGTGGTTTACATATGCTTCATTTGGCTTGAATCGATGAGTTTATGCTAGACTTTGCTAAACCATGGTCAGAAGTATTTCTGGTTCTAAAATTATGGTATTTATCAATTTCAACTTTTACATCTTCTGCATATAGGATAACTTCGTTTGGTAAAATACTGGTGGTATTTCATTGACTAATTGGATAACTTCTTTTGGTAAGAACACCTAGCCGGTTGTTGACACTGGTAAAGAGTTGTTGAAAATAATGTTTGTACCTCACCTGCTGCTGAACAGGAATCACATTAGGATCGCGGCCGTGGTCATCAAGGGAGTCTCCAATCTGTTATGTTTAACAGATCAGTTTACTGAATAAATTTGGTTTGGGACATGTAGCAAACTTGAAGATGTTTATCCTGTTCGTTCTGCTATATACTGGACCAGTGGAATGTCATTGTACAAGTCAATGAACTATGACATCAACGCAACTGCAAGTACTTTAGCGTCTGCATATTTGTCCTGTGAAACTTTTTAATAATTGTTATTTTCTTAAAATACAGAAATCTCATTATTGTTGCCGAGATTGGAAGAGGAACATTTGATAAAAGTATAGATAAATATGATCGGGTCTGCAGGTTTTTATAAAGCTATTCAGTTGAACGAATGAATGAAATATCTCAAAGATGAGTTGAGCCTTGTTATAATATGAACCTATGCGCTTATCTATTGTCATGGATTTAGTTGAAATTGTTTAAGTCGTGAGTTATTTTTACGGCTAAGTTACGGATTTGGTTAGAGTTACTTAAGTCATGATGTATTTTTATATGAACTTTTTGGATTTAGTTGGGATTGTTTAAGTTATGATGTATTTGCGATATACGTCTGCAAAAGGTTAGTCAATTTACAGTTTTGCTCAGGTTTTGTAGGATTTGTAAAAAGAGAAAGTTGATTAGTTTGAAAATGAGTGATGAATAAATTTTGATGTTTCACTAAGAGGAAAGTTTTATAAGTAATTTAGCATACATTTTAAGTGCAAGAGAAAAAAAAGAAAGCAAAGATTTTAGAAGGCAAAATGAATAGTTTGTGTATATCAATTCATCAAACACTACCTGGAAGTCTCATCCTCCTTGTGTAGAGGTTTTAGGGTATTGAGATGATCATGCTTTGTGACTATAGAAAACATGTCTATACAAATTATTTTAAAATCATTTTGGGATAGTTTTGTTCAATATGAGCAGTTATGAATTATCGTTGTTTATATTTTTAAATAAAAAATATATAAAATAAAATATACTACTAAACATATGTACAAATATGTAAAAGCGATGATACTAAGAGAGTCGAATGGTGGTGGATTCATCAGATTCCAACTTCTAAATGATGCAAATAAGTGATCCAACTTCGCTTATTCTCGGACATTGGCAGCTAAACTTACCTATGTCATCCAGCTTAGAAAGACCATCCAATTTGGAATTACTGACCTTTTTTCGCTCACCAAGAGCGTACCCCGCATTCCTTTCGGGCGCCAAAGTGGGAGGAGAGGACGCATTCCTTTCGGCCACCAAAGTGGAAGGAGAGGAGGGAGGGTTTTTGGGTACAAAGTCGCCGGAGTACAGATTTATTTCTCATCTAGAAGCACAGGACAGAAGTTTCATGAAAAAGCTGTTGATTAAATAAGAATTTTAGACAAACTAGGACATCATTAGCAGAACAAAGTTATATCCTCCTGTATTCAGGCTCCCTGCTTCCTCGAATAATGAGGCGGGTTGATTTTAGGGTGGATTGCAAGCTGGTAGGAAATATGGAGCTCCTTTCTTTTTTTGTAACAACGGCACGGTCAAACACGTAACGACGTGAACAGAAAAATCTACAGAACGCGCGACGTCATCACGCAAAAGAGATGAGAGAGAGAGAGAGAGAGAGAGAGGCGCTAGATCAGGTCATCGGGAGATCGGAAGCGTGAGTGCACTGCGATCCGAGGATTTCTTTCGGAAGCGTGAATGGAGCATGTGTAGAGGGCGCGACGTCAGCACGAGAGGGAGAGGGGGTGGACCAGATCGTTGGGAGATCGGAAGCGTGAGTTCACCTCGATCCGACTATTTCTTTCTTTTTCGATAGCTTCTGACGATTCTTGAGTTCGTTCTTGTCGACTCCGTTTTCTCTGTCTCATTTGATGTTAAATCTTGAGATCGGAAGCGTGAGTTCACCTCGATCCGACGATTTCTTTCTTCTTCGATTGCTTCTGACGATTCTTGAGTTATTTTTGTCGGCTCCGTTTTCTCTGTTTCATGTGATGTTAAATCTAACTGCTCGGTGTGGATCTTAACCTCGTCTTACGCCTGTTTCGGTTTCCAGATTATTCTCCAATAAAAATGATCTGATTCTTTCACAATACAGTTGTGGAGAGAGTTTTTTTGTGATGAAAGTGAAGTCTTTCGCCCTAAAACTTGTATTATCGATTGTTTTGATCTTTGGATAAGAGATGAGACTTTGACATCATCAAGTCTTTTTTATGGATTTCAGTGGTTCATTTAAATTCGACATTTAAGGGGGAAAAATAGTTTTTATTGGATAAGATCAACAAATAGTGAGTCAGCTTTGTGATGAAAGTGATCTGATTCTTTCACAATACAGTTGTGGAGAGAGTATTTTTGTGATGAAAGTGAAGTCTTTCGCCCTAAAACTTGTTTTGTCGATTGTTTTGATCTTTGGATAAGAGATGAGCCTTTGACATCATCAAGTCTTTTATGTGGATTTCAGTGGTTCATTTAAATTCGACATTTAAGGGGAAAAATAGTTTTTCTGGATAAGATCAACAAATAGTGAGTCAGCTTTGTCTCTCTCCATCACGGTCAGTGCCGCTATTGGAACACCTTGCAGTGGACATAACGCCAATTGTATGTGTGGGGACCTACTTATTAGCATATGATCGTCTTAACCTAAAAGTTCAATTTTACGGTTTCCGAAACCCTTCCCAATCAGCTGGAATTACATGGATTATGAGTGTTGAGGCATGTTTCCTCAGATTCTCTTATCATTTCGTTGTTTTAGAGATTGTTTGTTTGATTTTTTGATCATTTGAGAAAAAGGATATCAAATTTGAGGCGGGTATTCTCCAAGATGACGTTTTCTTCCTGTTTGTCGGTTTCTTGTGGGGATCCCATCTTGGTTGGCGTCAAACCACTAATATTTCTAAAGAACAAGTTTTTCATGGGCAAGTTCTGGCAAAATTATGAAATCTTTTCTCTCTGAATCTAATTTTGGACTCATTCCCGCTGTTGTCTTGTTGGCAATATTGTCATCTTTATCGATTTAAATTCCTGGAACATAGCTACCATAATATATTGTGATTACATGTGGTGCTTGCTTTTTTCAGGTTTGGTTTAACTGATAGGTGTTGTCCTTTAGCTGCAGATATTTTCTTTTGATGAATGGAGTAAGATAAAATCTGGTTTGTACTTTGGTAAGTATATGTTTTCGTATTTTGTAATCAAACCTTTGATTTAGGAATTAGTTTTTATTTCCTTGTTTGCTATTGTGATTTAGGAAATATTAATTTTATTTTTTTGATTATCATTGTAAATTAGAAAATAATTAATTATTAAGCATTTCAAATAGAGTAATGTCATATTTGTTAGTATATTAAATTAAAAATTATATTAAATAAATATAAAATTTAATTTTTTTTTAATTAGAGGGCTCACCTTCTCCTATTTAGGAGGATGGATTCTCCATTCCTATTTAAGTGGAGGGAATTATATCCTCGCTAAGCCAAAGTCTAGCATTTGGAGGAACGAGGAATTGTATCATGTTGTGGATAGATAGGTTTTCCTATCTTTCTTGAAAAAAATAAAAATTTTTATTTTGATTCTTTTAAATGTTCAAATTTTATTTGTAGTTCGAAAATATTTATTAATTCTTGAAATGTTAAAATTTTTATTGTTGGATTAAAATATATTATCTAAAGTTTTTAAGATATTCTTTAGTCCCTTTTAAGGTTTAGAATTTTATTATTTGATTATATTATGTTGAAATTATTCATACTATATGTATTGAATGTATGATATCTGATTTTTATTTGAATTAAGAATGTTATTTCTTTGTATTAAAGATTATTTTTTAATCTTATCTTTTAATCTATTGTTATGTTTAATGTATTATTATTAATGGATATATGTTGTCATAATTCGAAATTGATGAAATTAGGTACGATTTGGGTTGAAATAACCTATAGGCTAGACCTAGTCAATAGACCGGCCAGGCCCCACTCGTGGGTCAAGCCACAACCCATTGACTAGGCCCAATCGATAGATCAGGCCCAACTAGTAGGCTAGGCCCAACCAGTAGGCTAGGCCTTAGCCCACAGGCTAGCTCAGCCTAGCCTAACATAGGCGATTACGTGCGACGCACATGACCAGTCCATGTGCCAGGGGCTAGCCCAGCATATTGTGGTGCATGTACAATCATGTGTAATGCATATGATTAGTATATGGGTTGGCCCAACCTAGCCCAATATTATGTAATTGTTGGATTTGAGCCCAAATATTGATTGAACCAAACTAGATTTAATCAGTTAGGTTGATTTAGGGTGATTTCGAATTTGTTTGACTTATTCAAATATGTTTAACTTAAATTGAATCTAATCTAGTCCAAATTATATTAGTTTAGGGTGGTTCCAGACCAGTTAAATAAGAATTATAGATCATTTTAGTTGGGTTTTAATTAAATCGAGTTCAATTAGATCGATTGAACTAGGGTTATAGTTAATTGAAGGCTAATTGGTATTATTTGATATTGATGATGTTTGAAAGAGATATTTTGAATGTGTTATTTCATCCCGATATAGACATGACTAGTATGAGGAACGTGTTCTCATTTTGGAAGGTGAGGGACACTACTCTTTCCGTTGTTAGGAGTGCGATATGAGTTTGTCTCCATTCACTGTTGGGAGAATACAAACTCATCCCGTAGGAGAAAGCCTCTCATCAACTGTTGGGGGAGTGCTCCTTAAGGTAAATGATATTCGCCAATGAGATGATTGATTTTTAATCATATATTTATTTTCAATTGATTTATAGGGGTTCTTAGCGTTACCAAAATTTCTTTGTTTTTGATTTTCAGAGTAGCCTCCCACTAGCATTAAATCGGATTCCAGTGAAGAGCGGACTTTTCTCTACCACTAGGTAGAGCCACTTGGATGTTTCTTCGAGTTAATATCACTAGGTTCTTCAATAAATACTTTTGACTTATACTTTGATGAATAAATGAATTGTAATAAATGCTTACACGTTCTGAATAAAGTGATGTTTATTTATTTGGTTATGAATGTACTTGTGGAAAGATGTGATCCTATAAAAAAAAAAAAATTTAAGGATGTGACATCTTTTTATAGTAGTATGGTCTAGGGCCTGCTGCTCGAGGTGCTCGTCTCTTATCTTGATCAATGATCGTCTTTGTCCTATTAAAGGAGTAATTGAGCTAATTTGAGAGAACAGTGGTCCTGCTGCTCGAGGTGCTCGTGGTCGTAATGCCACTAGCTTACGCACTTGAAGATGTGTTCGAGCAATAACTTGGAATTTCCATGCATTGTAGAGCAAACCTAGTTCTCACATACACCTGTCACTAATTATGTGCCAACTTCTTTGACATCGTAGAATGCACCTCGTGCCCCAGCACATGCCAATGGTCCAGATAGTGTACATGGAGTCTTCAATGCTGTTAGAGGTCAGTGATTTAAAAAGCGCTAGGCGCCAAAAGGCGCCAAGGTCCACAAACGCCCAAGGCGCTAGGCGCTCGCCCGAGCGAAGCGAGGCGCTAAATTATAAAAATATATAATATAATTATAAAAATATATAATATAATTATTTAAAATTATCTAAATTATAAAAATATATAATATAATTATAACAATAATTTCAAATAAATAAAAATTAACAACATTAAAATCAAAATAATATATTATTAATCTATTAACAAAAAATTAATCATTTCAAAATTCAAATAAACTTAATATTAAGAGTATACTGAGCCTGATGGAGAAACGAGGAAGCAGCGGCGAGCGTCGACGGCAGCGGCGACAGCAGCGGCGACAGCGGCAGCGGGAAAGGGAAAGGGAGCGGAAGGCGCGAGCAGCGGGAGGCCTCGAGGGAGGCGCGAGCAGCGGGAAGGCTCGCGGGAGGGCTCGTAGGAGGCGAGAGGGCTCGCGGGAGGCGCGAGCAGCGGGAGGGCTCGCGGGAGGGCTCGAGGGAGGCGC